TGACTGGGTTTTACCCCTTTCTCCTGCTCTTCCGGCCTGCTACTCTTACAGGTTAGGAGGTTAGAAATCCAAGTTCAGGGTACCTGGGGAAGACTGATAGTCTGTGCCTCCTGTTCCTAGGAGGATCCCAGCACAGGTACCCTGGGTCCAAACGATATGCTGCACCTCTGGCTCCTCTTTCCTGGTGGTAGTAGTCACCACACTATAGACGTGCGGAATTTCCAAGATGATTCTTTGGCCATCTTGCATGCTCATTGATTTATGTAGCTTCTGACACCAGCATATATTTGCAGGTCCCCAAATCACATGAGTACTCTTATTTTTGACCCTGAAAACTGTTTTCTATGAGTAAATGCCTGTTTTTCATCTGACACCCATCTGTGATCTCTGGTCGGGTGCTCACAAGCTATCAACATATAAGAAAAACACCTGGTTAGAAAGAGCCATCTACCATTTCTCCTCCCATGCTGGGGAGCTAAGCATCCCACTGCAGTGTGGTTTGATGAAGGAGGATGGGGGTTGGTGAACCCAACCCTGATGAACAGCAGGTCTCCAACATGGTGAAATACACCAGCATGAGCCTCAACTTCCAGCACTTACACACATAGCTTGTGTAAGTGCAGAGGATGTGGGAGGAGAATTCTGGCCTCTCTCCAAATCCTGGAGCAGAAAGCTTGCTTGACCTCGGTCCCGTGTTCATGTGTCATCTTTCTAACCGGTACTGCTCTGGTACAGAGTCTTCAGGATTGGCAGTGGAAGGAGATAAAGGAGGGACATTGTGTTTTGAGACCTCAGAGTGTGTGAAGAGCAGGCTGTGAGGAGGTGGAGTGCACAGTGGGAGGTCCCTTCAGCTGCCCGCCACCAACTCTGTGGGAATGCAAGCCATGCGGGTGTTGAGGTCATGATGTGTGCTTATCACAGGAAGCTGGAGACAACAACCAGTTCTGCTGGAGGAACCTCTTTTCCTGCATCAACCTCCTGCGGCTGCTCAATAAATTGACCAAATGGAAGCATTCCAGGACCATGGTGAGTGGGGCCTCAGGTCATAGCATGTCCGTCTGACTGGGTGGATATGGGCTGCCTACTTTGCGAGCTCTATAGGTAGATGCTGATGGCTTCACAAAACGTAGTACCTCCTAATTCCAGGAACTTTTTCTCCGTCAAGTGATCACCCGCCTGTCCACTTCCTCTCGGAGTGTGGACCCTTCCTCAGGGCAGCTCTTGGTAGGGAAGTTATCATTGTTATTGGAATTACAGTCATAGATTCCATTTGATGCAAGTCCAAGATTATTCACTGCAGCATTGTTTGGAATAATGAAAGATTGGAAACCACCTAAATGCCTGTTCGTTACATAAAACGTGGTATGTCCTCATAATGGAATACTGTGCGAACATTTAAAAGAACTTCTTGAAATATAAATACCAATAGTTTCACTTTATTCCTGAGGACTCAGTCTAAGTCAGAGGGGCTCTGGTGGTGTGGTGCCTAAGGCATTTGACTTCTGACCAGATGGTGGTCAACCCCACCAGCCACCGTGTGGAAGGAAGACTGGACGATCTACTTCTGTAAAGATTTACCACCTTAGAACCCAATGGGGGTCACTATGAGTCAGAATCAGCTCGAGGGCAGTGGGTTTAAATCTAAGTAGACCTGGACCAGCGCTTCCCAAAAGCTCCCCCAGGGGATTTGGAAGCCACCAGGTTTGGCAACCACTGGCTTCATTTGTGAGTTGGGAATTCCAAGAAACTCAAATCCTCTTTGCCTTTCTCTGTCTCCGCTCTGCCCCCACCTGTTTCACTGGGCAGATGCTGGTGGTGTTTAAATCGGCCCCAATCTTAAAGCGGGCCCTCAAGGTCAAACAGGCCATGCTGCAACTTTATGTCCTGAAGCTGCTAAAGATACAGACCAAGTACCTAGGGCGCCAGTGGAGGAAGAGCAACATGAAAACCATGTCAGCCATTTACCAGAAGGTGCGGCACCGCATGAATGATGACTGGGCCTACGGGAATGGTGAGTACTCACCCTGCCAGGAGTGCCTGGGCGTTAAACAGAATGCCGGAGACAGAGACAACCCTCTGGCCTGAGTTGTTCGATCCTGTGGATGAGAAAACAAGGGATTGTAGGTCAGGTGCTGATATAATGAAGTTTAAGGCACTGCCTCGAATGCTAGCATGTACTTTGTGTTATGGAAACTGAAAATTTACTTTGTAATCACACCCTTTCCAAAACATTTATTTAGATGACAAGTCTAATCTCCTAAACATTTTTTTAAATTAACTTTTTTTTTCCCAAAAACATACGTAGGCAGATATTTTACCATGTTACCATATTTATGCAAAAAAGGGGAAGAACGTCAACGAGATGGACTGGCACAGTGGCTGCAGTGACAGACTCAAGCACAGCAAGGACTGTGAGGCTGGCGCAGGACTCGGCTGTGTCTCGTTGTGTTGTTCCACACACCGACCAGGCTGTGTCTTGTTCTGTTGTCCCATTGGATGTGGGATTGCTGTCAGTCAAAGCCGACTCAGCAGACCTAACACAACCACACACCGACCGGGCTGTGTCTTGTTCTGTTGTCCCGTTGGACACGGGATTGCTTTCAGTCAAAGCCGACTCAGCAGACCTAATACAACCACACACCGACCGGGCTGTGTCTCATTCTGTTGTCCCGTTGGACACAGGATTGCTTTCAGTCAAAGCCAACTCAGCAGACCTAACACAACCACACTCTGACCGGGCTGTGTCTCGTTCTGTTGTTCCGTTGGACACAGGATTGCTTTCAGTCGAAGCCGACTCAGCGGACTTAACACAACCATACACCGATCGGGCTGTGTCTCGTTGTGTTGTTCGTTGGACACAGGATTGCTTTCAGTCAAAGCCGACTCAGCGGACTTAACACAACCACACACCGACCGGGCTGTGTCTCGTTCCATTGTCCCGTTGGACGTGGGACTGCTTTCATTCAAAGCCGACTCAGCAGACTTAACACAACCATACACCGACCGGGCTGTGTCTCGTTCCATTGTCCCATTGGACGTGGGACTGCTTTCAGTCAAAGCCGACTCAGCAGACTTAACACAACCATACACCGACCGGGCTGTGTCTTATTCTGTTGTCCCGTTGGACACAGGATTGCTTTCAGTCAAAGCTGACTCAGCAGACCTAACACAACCACACACTGACCGGGCTGTGTCTCATTGTGTTGTTCGTTGGACACAGGATTGCTTTCAGTCGAAGCCGACTCAGCGGACTTAACACAACAACACACCGTATTTGTACCACCTGGAGATTGCCAATGTTAACATCTTTGGTGTGGTGCCTGAAGCATTTCACTGCTAACCGGAAGGCTGGCAGTTTAAACCCACCAGCCGCTCCTTGGAAGGAAGGTTGGGCAATCTACTTCCATAGAGATACCGCCTCAGAAACCCAAGGAGGGGTCGCTATGAGTCCAATCGACTCGACAGTGAGTTTGGTTTTTGTTTTTTTTTTAGTATATTCTCCCAGATCTTTTTCTATACACATATGTGTACATATTTTACTAAAAGGAAAGCAGATTGTACATGCTATCTTATAATCTTCTCTTTCTAGTCAGTTAACAATTGATACCATTTCATATCAGTACATTTTCATTTTATCTAATAATCAAATCCATATTCGAATTTCACTATTTGTCCAAAAATCTTCTTTATAGCTGTTTTTGTTCCAAATCAAAATCAGTCCAGGACCACAAACGTCATCTGTTTGTTATAGTCTTTCATCTGTTTTGAATCAAGCAGAGTCTCTTTTTTTCTGTGACACTGACTTATTGAAGAACCAGGCCCCTGGATATGTCTGCTTGCTCCCTCTCAGTGTCAATGACCTTACTCCTCTATCCGGGGTATTTCCTGTAAACTATAACTTAGATCTGAAAGTGTGAAGCATTTAAACCTCTGGCTCTAGTACATTCTAGGTGATGTTGGGTGGTGTGTATCACCTTACATCTACAGATGTGATGTGCAGTTCACGTACTAAGACTTAATGCCAAGATGGACCATTGGCCCTAATACATTTTAAATATGATCAATTTAGAACACAGGTTTTTTGGTAACATATTTGTATCACATAGCAGTACTGCTTGAAACAAACAAACCATCAAGTCAGAGTTTGGAAAACTTTCTTTTGGAGAGCGTTTGCACTGCATTGACATTGCTGTAATAGGATTGGTCCATTGTTGGCAAAATTGTATTTTAAGACTTGTAGGATGACTTGTCTTTGCTGGCACCTTTGACCAGCTCGGATTTTAGAGGAGACTGCAGTAGAGTTCCGAGAACTAAGGGAAGCATTTGATTGACATGTAACAAGCCAGGGTGTAACGTCTACTCTGGGCCACCAAACACAATTAGCTACTTAAAGTCTCATAAATGTTTAAAACATGACAACATTGCATCCTTGCAAATGGCACATCATTACTGTGGTCATGATGAGGCCAGACCCGAACCGCACTTCCTCACAATACACAGTAGAGGTCTGGGAAATACACATCTCAGCCCTGAGGTGTGTCCACGTGGAATGAAGACAAACAAACAAAGGCTCTGCTTTCTGGTACTACCTCCAAGGAAGCCTCGCCTCCTGCTTTTCACATACAGGCTCCCACATGGGTTTGTCATGTGCTGGGGACGACCCAGGAGTCAACAAGTCTTTAGTAACGGGTCCATCTGATCCTTGTTGTGCACCTTGCTGTGGCTTCCCGTTGCTCAAGATCTAGTGTGTCCATTCAAATGGAAAGCTCTCATGTTCTAGGGAAAGTCAATAAAGGGAACTGTGTTATCCTGCTGGAAAAGGATACATAGAACCGGTACAGAGGACACATAGAAGTAGTGAGGATGTGAAATAGCAGAAAGGAAGTTCCATAAAAGAAGCCCATCTACCCCAGTGCCTTCATTTCTCTTCAGAGACAACCACTGTTACCGGTTTCTAGGCTCCCCTTCTAGAGGTAGTCTCTGCATATACAGGCGTGGGCTTGTGGGCATAGGTGTGTGCTTTTAAATCAGAGTGGCAGATTATACCATGCTCACGTTGCACACTGCTCTTCATATAAAGCGGGTTCGGAGGAGTGCCGTGGTCAGAGTCCCGCAGACCGAGCTCTGTGGTGAGGGGCGGGTCCTGCGTCACGTGCAGCATCTTCTCCCTCTCTTTGTAACACAGACATCGATGCCAGACCCTGGGACTTCCAAGCGGAAGAATGCACACTGAGGGCCACCATCGAAGCCTTTAACAGCCGTCGGTACGACAGAGCCCAGGACTCTGAGTTTTCACCTGTGGATAACTGCTTGCAGAGTGTTCTGGGCCAGAGGCTGGAGCTGCCTGAGGATTTCCACTATTCGTATGAGCTCTGGCTCGAGAGAGAGGTGTTCTCCCAGCCCATCTGTTGGGAGGAGCTACTGCAGAGTCACTGACTGGGCTCCTGTCCACCAAGATCTGAGAGGTGAGGGTCGGCTCCTGTGAGGGGTGCTCTGCCTGCCCTCCCCGTTCAGACTTGGTTTCCAGCTCTGGGCATGCTTGTCAAGGGGAGATGAGCTCAGCCCAAAGGCCCAGTGTAGTTCAGGGCCAGCCCGGGGGCTGTTGGACCTGCAGGTGGTGCTAGGCTAGGATCCTGTGCCATCACAAATTGATCACCCTGCCCTGTTGTGTCAGTTGGGTGCCCAGTGGCCTTGGAAATCCGGGGGTCAGTTCTGGGCAGGCTTTTTGGCGGGCTTCTCCCTGCTTTAGTCTTGCCTAGAACCAGCCTTTCTTTGTTGGCCTCCAGAGTGGGAAGAGGTTCATTACAGCTTCTCACCCAAGGCGTTCATCACAGGCACTGACAGTTAAAGGTCGTAAAATAGGGAGAAAGCCTTCGTCTGCTCCACCTGGATTCCTAGGACTTGCCAGGGGTCTGACAAAACCAACTTGGAAATTCCCTATTTTAAATTTTGACAGAAGTCCTGAACACACACACCCTCTTTCTAAAACCATCAGCCCCGAGATGCTTTTGGAGCCCCTGCGCCTTTTTGGTGAAGGGTAATGATTTCCTGTTCCCTAAATACTGCATGTTCTAGAAAGGTGTATTGTGTAGATGCTTTTTCTGTATTCCCCAAGCGATCGGTATTCAACGTGGAAATTGCTTCCCTGCGTGTACTCTGTAGGGCACGGAGTCCTCTGCCATTTTCAGAGACCACAACCAACATGAAAAAGTGGAGCCTTCCCTGGGGGTGCTTCTTGTTTCTGAAATGACTTCGGTCTTCAAATGGCTGAGAACGCTGCAGAAAATTACCCTTTCCATCCACTTCCTTATTCAAATGACAAGTTAACTGCAGGAGGCTTTGTTTCTTGCAATGGTTGTGTCCATTTGTGCTCATGATCGATTTATTTTTTAATTGAATAGAACAGCAAGAGCCTCACAGGTTACCGTTTGTTTTTTCCAATGTTGATTGATGATTTTTCTTCCCCTTCTTTTCACTGCTAGCAGTTTCAGAATGTCCTGTGGAGACTCAGCAGCGCTGTTTCTCCCTGAAAATGTTGCACATTTCTTTAAAAATTCCAGGGTTGATGTATCACCTCTACACGTCTCTCTCTGATAGCAGAACCACATAATTCCTAACAGACACAGGTTTTCAGCAGAGTTTCTGATTCAGGTGGATTGTTGGGGTGGTTTTTTTTGTTTTGTTTTGTTTTTTCCTCCATGCATGCATGCTTACATCATCTGTAGTTTTAAGCTTTTTACTTTAAATACACTCCCCCATATGGACACTACTGAAACGTTCTGTGATGGCACCGGGCCACTTTCACTGTGCCAGGAGGTCTAGTCAAAATTGGCTGATTTACTCTGCTGTCCTTTGCCAACCAGGGTCGTTTGGAAGCCCCAGTGGCATTCTCATGTCTGAGGAAGTTCACCAGAACACTGATAAGTAAACCTTGGGTTTACTGTGTGCTTTAGTGCAGCAGGAGTTCTGTTTTAATGGAAAGGTCATGATGAATGTAATTACATTAAAAAAAACTTCTTAAAATAATTTGTCAATTTTACCTGAGTAGGACAACAGCCCTCATCATAATCAAGGTGAGCATACCATCTATGAATTTGATTAATCTAGGGCCACACTTGTGTGATTTGGATGTGATTTGAATGAAGAGGCAATTTTCAAGGGAAGAGCAATCAGCAGTCTATTTCTCTGAAAGCCATATTGTATTAAATGTGTGTCAGGATCAAATGAGCTGCCCTTTGAAAGGTGCGCACATGAATGAATGCTTTCTGGTCATAGAAGTGTGCTGGGCTTTAACCTTTCAGACCCAGTTACTTACCACTCTTCTCTAAGGGAAGGGAACTCTCAGTGCAGGTGGGGAAAGTGAGGCACCAGCGTAGGTGCTGGGCCAGCATTCAGGTACCTACAGCCAGCCCCACGTGCTAAGGTAACTGGGTTGAATTTCCCCATTTGAGGACCCATGTGTGTGGTTAGGGTAAGTTCACCCTCCACCGATGATAACTGTTGCTACATAGAGGAACAGAATTTGAGTGATTTATAAGACTGAGAATTTTTATTTGTGAGTATTTCAGTAAAGTTCATGTTGACTGTTGGTACCATTGTTCATCTACCGAAGCACTTTAATAAAAAGGAAAGTGAAATGGAGTTACTAATTTGGTCTCTAACGTCTTCAACACAAGAAAATCTTAAAGGCATGGTAGATACAAGATAGAATGAAAGAGACTAAGTATACAGAATGTAATATTGGTCCGATTATCCCCTGGGAGCAGACTCATAAACAGTGACTGGTAACAGACATTTACTTCTTGCCTGCTGGCCTGGCCTGGGGTCAGCTGCACTTCTGCTATACGCAGTGTGGCTTGCTAATGCTAGCTCGGCTGTCCTCCCCGCCCTCTCATTCGGGCATTAGACTGATGGAGTAGCCTGTCTGGGACATACTGTTTTCATAGTGAAGGGCAGGAGCAAGAGCCCACACCAAAACCATGCAGGAACATTTAAAGCGTCTGTTTGGATGTGGCTAAGTCAAAATCACTCATATTCCATTGGTCAAAAGCAACTCAAAGGGACAAACCTAACACTGGGCCAGAGAATTGTGCTTTACCTCCAAGGTACACACAGGGTGTCAAGTGTGGGATATAATTCCCTTACCAGTAGAGAAAGTGAGTTGTAAACAGCCCTGCCCTCCTGGTCTTAAATATCTGTTCCTACCCTATATGCAAAATACACCTCAAAGAAGTCACTCCAAAAGACTTATCCAGTCATGACATGAGACCTACAGTCCGGGATATTAAGTCCAAGACAGTGTCTGTTGATCCTGAGATGAAGTTACCTGACCACACCCCTCACCACCAGCACACAGTGATGGAACAGGGAGATGACAGCCCAAACACACTGTCCTCCAAAAGGGGAGAAACGGAAGGCACACAGCGAACACAGGTCCGACTGCGTTCTGCAGTCCCACAGGGCAGATGCCCGCTGGTCTGGGGTCAGCTGCAGTTCTGCTGTACTCGGTGTGGCTTGCTAGCTCTGGGGATAGGAGTGGTCCTTGAGTCTGTTCCCTGCCCCTTCATTGTTCTGCTCTGGGGGTTGGGGAGGTGGGGGAGAGGGTCTTCTCATGTCCTCCTTGGTCACACCTGAAGAGGGCGCTGGAGAGTGTTGGTGGCTGAGCGAGTTTCTTGGCTTGCTTAACTTTTTATTGTGATTTGGGTGAAAAAGTTTACAGAGCAAATTTGTTTTCCATTCAACAGTTCATACTCATTTTGGTGAAGAGTCATTATCTTTTAATCAGACTAACAATTTGGCAATGAAATTCTCAAAAGCTTTTAAAATCTAATTCTAGTCAGCTCCATTTGCCAAGAGCCACAACTGCAACTCTTTCTGATGCATGCCTCTCCACTTCATCACAGGTCCTTTGAGTTCCTCACGCTCTGTGAGGCCATTCCTTACTCTCTTCTCCTTGAGCCATTCTGTCCAACTGAAAGAAATTTAAGACGTATATAATCCAATCAGAGATCTTAATAAAAGGCCTGAACACTTCATGGTTGACTGGTCTTTACCACAAGGCCTTTTTGGTTTCAAGCATTTAAAATTTTCATCTCATCGATTAGATGGAAAACAGTTGCGTCTTTCAACCTTGTAAGTCCTGAAATTTTTGGATTCTTTTCCCCCTACCATCCTCACATGAACAGGCCCATTCTTTTCAGTCACCTTTTTTCTACAGTATCTTGTCAAATGCACCTTCTAATAGGAGCCAATTCATGCTACCACCGTTCTGCCTTAAAACCTTTTCACCCAAAACTTTCATTAACTACATGTTCTGCCTTCCAACTTATCACAAGTTTTACCAAATATTTTGCAACTGTATAATATGGATCGCCAATTTTCCAGCCTCCTGTGAGTTTTCTCATAGGCACTGGCCCTTAAGCCAATACCACATATAGGGTTTTGTCATGGTAACACCTCACTGTTGGTATGGACATCAGTATTAAACACTTTTGCTCCGGTATCAAACAACCCTCAGGTTTTGGTGGCTTATGGCAACAAGCATTTTCTAACTTGGATCTGTGTACTAGCTGAGGTCTTGCTCTGGGCTCTAGGCTCAGGCTGGTTGATGGAGTTGCTCCCATTTATTCTTCTAGTGACGAACAAGGAGCAAGAGACCCAATCATCCGAATCTATAACTTCCTGCTCAGATGTAGTGTCATTCACAACAGCCCACATTTAGTTGGCCAAAGCAAGTGTCATGGACAAGTCTGCCACTGGGCAGGGAAGTTTACAGGGAGGCAAGCATGTACTTATTACTGAATTGTCTGTATAATTAGGAGCTTGCATAGCATCTGCCGCAGTTGCATAATACTGTCTGAGGTTTCTGCATTGTAGAAGAGAAGCCTGGAACTACATTTCCCAGAGTTTCCTTCCTGCGTGGTTCCAGGGTAGAGTTCACCCACAGAAAGAACTCACAGGATTTGGAAGATGCAACAGAAGGAGCCATCGTCATCGTCATCTGGAGGCAGCTGCAACCAGACGCATGGGGCAGGTGAGTCAGCGGTGTCCCAGTGAGCTCCAGAGACAGGTGGTGGGACTTTCTCAGCGGTCGAGGGGTTCAGCAGCTTCCAGGGAGCGCTCACGTCAGTATCTTATGCCAAGATTCTCCATTGTGACTTTTTTTCTTTAGTCTTGTGTGTGTGTGTGTGTGTGTGTCTGGTTTGGGTGAAAGTTTACAGAGCAAATTGACTTTCCATACAGCAGTTCACATATACTTTGTCTCATGACATTGACTACGATTTACCCCAATGCAACAGCTCCCCTCCCACTTCCTCCCGACAGTTACCTCTTCCCTGTGTCCATCCCTCCATGCACTCCTGCCCCCTGAGCTGTCTCCCTGTGCATACACAGCCCTTCTTTCTCCCATGATTGTTCTCTCCAAGGAGTGTATCCAT